ATACGAATATTGAGCAGAAAGAGAGAGAGAGAGAGAGAGAGAGAGAGAGAGAGAGAAAAAGAGAGAGATCACAAAATATATATATATATATGAATCTATTTGAACCAATTGAACTTACCATTTAAGTCTTTAAGCTTCGACAGGTCGACGGCGATGGCAAAGCTGGTGCAATGCTTTGAGGTTGTTCGCAAGGACGCCCGCATAACTTGCGCACGGTTTTAACTAAACCCGATTGACACGTCTGCTCACGCGATTCGAAAGTGTAAAGCGAATGGAATTTTTTTTTCCATCTCGTTTCTTGGCGATGCCTTCCCTGCTCGCGTTCGATTTCACCGCGTAAAAAAAAATTCCATCCGTTTGTGTGCCCAATTACTTCGGAGAAGAGGCGCGCTATCCCGCAAATCGCTCGATCTAGGTGATAATATCTCGGGGCCTTAAGAACCTTTAATGAATCGCTTAGCATAAGCAGTTAGGATGCTTATAAAGCGATTTTATGTAGGAAGTCACGTCATGTTGTAATCTGTATTAGAATCAGTCTTGGTATCGATGACTTTCTTATCTTGTTCACGTTACGTAGTAACTATCGATCTTGAAACATGCTCACATATCATATTTGTTGCTGAACGTTTGATTATTTGATGCTGACATTTGTCTACGGTCAGGCTTTGCTAATAACGGTTAATTTTATTTTAATCGATTTTTTCTTGTTTGCAGATTAAAATCAAATTTAATGATATTAAACTATAGAAAAAAATATTAACTTATATTAAATTTATTTTGTAAAAGTAGACATTAGATGAAAATGACATTTCATTAATGACGATTTACGTTTAAAATTCAGACTAGTATAAGAAACTCCCAAATTTGTGAATCTATAATTGTTTCTTAATTATATATGCTTTTTACCGAATTATAATAGTATTGCTATACTTTTTAATTTAATTTTCAACTAAATGTCACATTCTCTATATGTTGTTTCCATTAAATCTCTTAGAATATGTGTTAAACTCTACTCAGTTTTACGAGCTAAGATTTACATAATTGCATTTTGCATTTAAATATGAGATATGAATACGATTCACTGTTTCGCAATTCGTTAGTTTCATTCTCTTTTACGAGAACTGGAAGATTTTTTTGTGAATATCTTTTTTATGAACACTTTTTTACATCCGGAGCACGGAATGATTATCAAAAGCGATATCGGCTGTCCTTGCGGCAAATGTTTACAAGTTTACTCGTACACGCATTCTCGACCATTGTGCGGCTTGCACAATGCACGGCCTCTTATTGTTGGAGATATTACGCTCGGTAATTACGACACCGGCGAATCTTGATTTGCGAACGATACGCGCGCATAATGACAAGGTGAAAATAATTAAACTCCAGTCGGATAAAATGATCGCTTTTCTCAGTCTGTGTTGAGTTTCTAATTTGCGCTTAGATATTCGTACGGCCGATCGCGGCTGGAGAAGCACGATGAGGAAAGCGATGAGAGAGTATCGATCTCTGCGCAACGATATTGATTTATAAAGGAGCGTTTTGCGGATGATGCAAAATTAGCAGAAGTGACCGAAGGCGTCGGAGAAAACGAAACAAAAAAAAGAAACAGGCCAGGTTTGTTGATGGATGTCTCGTCGGCGTCACTCACGGCATCTGCATAGCATTTATCTCGCAGCCGGGTAATTCGTGGCTGAGGTAACCGCGGTTTTCGTCACTTACGAATAATAGCTGCACAGCCTGCGTCGTGCACGCGGAAAAAAATCTAAACGCCGTTCGTGCCTTCTGTTTTCACGGGGAAATATGTCAAGGTAATTAGACGTTTCATCACATCGCCGTCCTACGAGCGCGCGACGTTGTCTCGAGATTGAATAATTGTCGCGATTGCAGTCGCCCGTCTTATCTCTCCGCGAGATGCACATTTTTCTTTGGCGAATTCGAGAAGGATTTGGTAAGATCCCGAATGGAAAAAAAAACTTGCTAGTTCTGCTGCGCAAGCTTTCTGGTAGATTTATCAGATTTGTTTTTGTGTATCTTGCGCGACGATTCGCCGTTAAATTCACGAGAGTTCTCATATATATGAGATTTCTTTCCAACTTCTTTTGAGGCTTCAGGACAATCCCCTCGCCCGGTATGATTTGTGCGATCATAGGTCCGATATGTAGGCTCCGAGCGGAACGCCTTCAGTCGTCGACACCGAATGTATACTACCGTTCTAACCGATCCAAACCGGCTTTCACCGGCGACGAATCGCCTTAATTCCACCGGTTTCTGGTGCTGTGTCAGCCAATCCATTTTCACGATCGGGATTCGTCGAGCAGATTTAATCATGATACTGCGAGATAAATTGTCGGCTCGACCCTACATTGTATCTCCTAATCGCAGCGGGGCTAAGACCCCAATATTTTGTGTGCGCTTGTGACAAATGTTGCAAAGAAACAGCGACAAGACATGAGATTATATTTTGCGTGAAAAAAAATCGCTTTCAATGAATTTCTATGACGCATAAGAAATTCTGACATGTTACGGCAAAAGCTGATTCACACAGATTCGAAAGAAATTGGATAACAGTAGATGCTTAATATAAATATTATTTTTAAATTGTAAATTTTGCAACGCGTAAGATTGATTAAAATCACAATTTCGAAATATGAGTATTTTATAAATTTTATCTAATTTTTTTTATTTTTCCGTGTACAAAAACTTTTACTTCTTTTCTTTATCTGTAAGTAACTTAAAAATGCATAAATATTTCGCGGAAATAACTTTATTATCACAAAAGACGCTTTTTTTGTTTAATTTTATGAACTATTTTATCTTCTATTATGATTATTAATAATCTCTAACTTGCTAAAAAAATTTCACGCGTGCGGTGACCAACGTTTTGCAAAAACTGAAGCGCAAAAAAACGTCGCGTTGATTATTTTGACGTGCACTTGTAACGAAGCGTGTCTATCTTCGCGCCGCATAATTTTCACTGCTAGTGACGCAACAGAAATGGGTTTACGATTTACTATGCTCGCGGTTTAAGTCCGCATGCACGATGCAAGTTTAATAAGATTATTGGCACACAATCGGTAGATCGGAAACACTTCGTGTCGATAGGGCGTAAAGAAAAAATTACAATCTTGTTACAGAAATGCTTCTATTACCTCATCGATTTCTTTCGAGGAATGTAATAGCAATAATTACGAAGTGTTTCTTTTCATCGTGCGATTGTGTCAATAACGCTGACGATTTCAATTATTTTTGTAAAACATACGCAACTTTGCTATTCGAACGAATTGTTCGAATCGACGTTGACGTGGCCTTAGACGTGCTTTTGCACAAGAAGTCGACAGTAAAACTATCATGGACACGACAAGCAATTGCTTTTTATCGCACGAGAGATATGACGATTGTTCAGACAATCGCACTCAATAAAGATTCGTCGAGCACGTACGAGCGAAATAAAGCCGAGTAGATTCTGCCTGATTGCACTTTTTTTCCAACACATTTTCGTAATAATTTCTCGTTTCGTCATATTGGTATCCATTATTCAATCCTCAAAATTTTAAAAATATTAAAAATAATTTGTAAATAAAATAAAAAGATGCGAGTGAAAGATACGGATACAACTTGCATCATTTTATTTTCTCTTCCTCAAGAAGAGTGCAATGTACGCATAATTGCGCGCTCCTTGTCGATCGAAGCGAAAGATCATCTGTCAATCGCGACAATCTTTCGCAATTGGTATACATGTCTGGTAGCTGATTAATATTTTCGCATCCACTCGCGCGTACACATAAAACGGCGCTTCGCCATATAGATTCTAGATTACGCCGCTTTTAAGATTACGCAGTCTTGCCGTTCTCTCTCGAAAGGTTATCGTTTGTCATGTCGTACTCACCGCGATTCGCAAATTCTTGTTTGTGCAGCGATGGCTTCAAAGAAGAAAGTAAATATACAAAAATAGATTCTAATAGCGTATTGCAATATCACACTATTATTTGCTAGATGTCTTATGCTAAAAGTGTTTGTCAATTTAACAAAAAGAAACAAAAACTACGACAAGTAAGAGTCAATCGTGTTGATTGGTCAGAGATTATCGGTTTAATGGCGAAAATATTATATTACTCCTGATTTAATGCAATATCAACAAATAAAGTATCATAATTAAAAATTTGTTTGATCATAGTGCTGAGCAATGCGATTACATATGTCATAGATGAATAATGCGATGCGCAGAGACGGTAATCTGATGAAGGAATAATACAGGAAGTGATGCGCGCGATCTTATCATTGTGAAGGGAATGACGTGTGGGTGCAAGCGCAGTGCGCAAAGCGCGTTGTGTATATGTGCGTCATCATATATATGAATGACCTCACGCAATTGTACACGTGACGATCTCATTAGCACGGTGACGAAATTCCCATTTAACGCGCGTTAATCACGGATGCTTACGCGAGAATGTTTAAGTGTCTTCTTAACTCATAAAATATTGATAATTTATGGACATAAAGACACTCGAGTGATTTTTGCCTGAGCATTTAAAAAGATCCTACTCGATGAAAGGCAACACACGTTTTTGACACGCGTTAATAATATTCCATGCGACGTAAGCGCTGTCAGTTACCATGCAAATATCATCGATTAATCTACCATTAATCTTCGACCGACAAATGATTACAACTTGTTCTTTGACTGGTTGTACTTTCCATCGAAATGTCATCCACACAGAACATTTCATAATATTCGCACTGAATATGACTGGTGGTTTTTTCAGCGCACGTTGAATTATTTTTGAGTTTTTATAGCATTAAATTTATAATTAATTAAAAATCTTATGAAATTATTATAAGAAATAAAATCTAATTAGCTCCTTTAATATTTAAATATCTTAAGCTCAGCATTGATAATCACATAGAATTATCAAAATAATTCGTAATCTGAACAAATGCATGTGAGGAATACTTTTTAATCATGCAAACTATACTTCAAATGTTTCTAATTATATGTCCAGGTAGTCGACACATAGAATGGTGGCATCGCAAAACGACGGCGGCAGAAGTATGGGCGACGGCGGCGGCGGCGGCGGCGGCGGGGCGGAGGCGACGAAACGGTTTACACGGTGACCGTGAGCGGGGTCGGTTATAGAAACGAGGGCTACAAGGACGACGGCACCGATGGTATACCGCCGGAGCCGCAGAAACCGCCGCAATTGCCGGCTGCGGACGACGACACGCAATCGCGAAAGTTCAAGCTGTCACGCGGCGAGAAATGGCGCATCCTGAAAAACATCGGCACCGTGTCGGTCGCCTTTATGGTGCAGTTCACCGCGTTCCAGGGCACGGCGAATCTGCAGTCGTCGATCAACGCTAGCGACGGCCTCGGCACCGTTTCCCTCTCGGCGATCTACGCCGCCCTGGTGCTTTCGTGCATCTTCGTGCCGACTTTTCTCATCAAGAGGCTCACCGTCAAATGGACCCTCTGCGTGTCGATGCTGTGCTACGCGCCGTACATCGGCGCGCAATTCTACCCCAAATTCTACACCCTGGTGCCTGCTGGCGTGCTCCTGGGTCTCGGCGCCGCGCCCATGTGGGCCGCCAAGGCCACGTATCTCACGCAGGTCGGCGGCGTTTACGCCAAAATCACCGACCAGCCGATCGATGCCATCGTCGTACGGTTCTTCGGCTTCTTCTTCCTGGCGTGGCAGACGGCCGAGCTCTGGGGCAATCTCATCTCGTCGCTTGGTAAGTCAACAGCTTAAAACTAGTAAAATGTTAGCAATGTTGATAGATTGACAGTCAATTTGGAAGTTATTTATTAATTGTTGTTATCTGAGCTCTTTTAACGTTTGTGTCATGTATTTATATGCACGTGACTAATAGTTATTACCAAATCCAATTACACTGTGGATGTTGCACGCGTGAACAATTAATTTCTGAAAATAAAAATTTTCTCATTGTCGAAGCTGAAAGAGATTAATGATCGTTTCTGAGCGATTTGACATATCGCGCTTGAATCAGACGTCACATGTGAGCGCAATAAAGATATTCTATACATCTCAATAACACGCAATATCTCAATACTATCGCCGTCTGTTTTTTACGCTCAATTAGCGGCTTATTCAATATATCCGTTAATATTGCACAAACATAACCGAATGTATGCACAATTGTACGCCGACTTATCAGCTTAAGCTACCTTACTCACTCCAGAACGATCTTTGCGATCAAAACGTGCTTCGTTAAAAGAATATAATATAATTATAATTATAAATATTCATATCTAATTATAAATGTTGTTAAAAATTGTTTTCTAAATTTTCTACCAACGTAAAATATAGAAGTTAACACAAGTTGTACATTTTGCAAAAACAATTTTTGTTAATATTAAATTTTGTTATTTTAATGTAACAAAATTATTTTTTGAATATAATGAAAAATATTATTTATTTTTATTTCTGTTTCGAAAATATTTTACGTTGATCTACAAGTTTTTCGAAAACTCTTCAAAGTCAAATTTTCCTGAAAGTCAATTTTTTAAATCAATAAAATTTTAAATAATTTTGAAAGAATGAAAATACAATGATTAGAATATTTTTAGTTTTTTGAATTCGACAAATTTTATATGACGCAGTAGTACGTGTTACATGTGTGGAAACGGACGTTAGAGTTAGACATGGTCAGACAGTCGGACCAAACGCTCGGTCTTTCTCCTTACGCTCATATCCTCCCGTCGTTGCACGCGCCTCGTGTCCCTCACGTGTGTGAGGAACAACGTGTCGGTGAGATTCGTCGTGCGAGAGAGGCCGTGAGAGCGACAGAGAGCAACTCGCCGGGAAGAAACAAGATTTATCCGGTATAAACCCGCGGCAGTCGGTTTCCGTACTACCTCATACGCATTCTCCGATACCGCGTGCACTTGTACACACGCGAGCAGGTATCATTGTGTTGTTCTTACATGCGAAGAAACGTTTCTTCGATTTCTTCGCCGATCGAATAGAGCCTTGCAACATTTTGGACGGCGGAATCCAATCAACTTGAATTATAGAGAAAATAATCGTTTGTGTTGGAATAATTATTCAATTAATACATAGATATATGAAAGAGAGTATACGATTTTTTGTTATACGCAAATTTTGGCCGTGAACTTAGGTAAAATTTGCAATCATTAAATACAGACATCACTTGAGTTCATGTTAACAATTGATTTAAAAAAATAATAAATTAAAGATAAAATAATATTTAAGAAAGAAATAATACACTCTCTAGACTCAATATTAAATAATTTCGATGTTTATATATACAAAGTAAAAAAATAATAAAGCTCTAATTTATAGAAATATTATTGTAGATAAATATAAACATGATTGTATATGGACAAACTCTTTTTAAATCATATACAAACGCGTAAAAAGAATCAATATGCTTTTGTCGCCAGGAAATATCTGTAGACGCACGACAAAGGTCAAGATTCTTTCAAGTCCTTGTGAAGTTGACGTATGCGCAATATTATAGGATGAATGACCGGTAGTGGTATAGAAACCACAAGTTGCGGGCAAATATTGCTGAATAATTCCAGGAAAATTCGACGAAATTTCCGTAGAAATGATTCGGTAATATTCTGTCCGTGTACGAGTTTTTTATGCATTATAACACTGATTGTGAAAGGAATCTGTTAAGTAAGTATCACGCATCAATCGCATTTATGTAACAAGAGGAATTACTAAGAACTATACTAAAGAACTCAGCTTATTTTGTTCGAATTATATTTAATTATGATCTTTTTTTATTACAATAAATTGTAATAAATATTAATCTTTTTAATATTACTTACTTTTTGAAAAAATATAGAATCAGAATAGATAATATTAAAATCAATTTTTTATTACGAAAAATTTTATTCTAGTGATCTATTTTTTATAAATTTATATTTTATATACTTTTTTTATTTTACATTTATAATTAAAAATATATTAATTGCTCTTTATTAAGGCAAAATGGAAAATAAATGTGAAATTGGTTGAAAAACACACGTAAATTTTGGCATGCTTGCATATGTCTTGGATTTTTAATTTTTCACGGGTTTTTAATTTTTCTGATTATGTACAGGCATTTTCTACTGCGTAGTCATTTTTATTATAATAAAAGCACGGAACATTTTTCAGCGCTTCGTAAAATGTAAAAAATACGAAAACAAACAATTGGTGATCTTTTTAGCGAGGTTTCCATTGACATATTATTGCATAAAGCTATATATCCTGCAATCGCGTGACTAGACCGAACGACTTCCGCACATATCTTCGTGCTTGCACGATAACTGCATCGTTAAGAAACAGATTTTCCAACAATTGATGACGATAGTGAGGAGGATCGTAGACACAATATAATATTATTCGCGCTGCTCCGGTGAAAGTTCCTCTGGTCGACTTGACGGCGCCATATAGATTAGCTAACGCAGATTCCAGAACGACGATAAGTCGTGCTCAGAGCCATTGATTAGTTCTCTTTCGCAGAATATTTAAGTGCCCGTGCAAAATTGCGAATAACAAAATTTCAGACACGCCGCGACGATAAAAGATGAAAGTCGCACGCGTTAGTAGTTTCGGTCGATGATTTAACCGGCGAGAGGTGCGCGGCGGTTATAATTTCTCGCGGCACAACGTAACGCATGCCGTAACTTACGAATGTATTGCATGATTTCTCATTACTACATTTAGGAAAGTTTTATAAACACCTAATTACTCATATCCGTTGCACAATGTATTATACGCGCTGATAATAATACTTAACACCTGTATAGTCGCTGATTTGAGAAAAATTGTTGCATTCTTTGAGGCGCGGCTTTTAATCGAGGTATACTCGATTTAACTCTCGATTTAACTCTCTCGAAGAATACAAATGAACTTCTTCGAGAAGGTTCCTTACAAACGAGTCTACTCGAACGCGTGTTGTGCGCTTCCTCATGGGCGATATTGTACGTGGGCTGTGTTTGCACAGCTGCGCGGGAATTTTTTTGCGTTATTACGAACACTTCGCTGCGCTTCGTCGATCGGTTGAGTGATTTCCGCTCGTTAACAAGCCATCAACATCGACGGCTATCAGAGTTAAAATAATTCAAATTTTTCTGATGACACATAAATATTGTGCGAATATGACATGAATTACATATTAATACATTCTATTTGGATAATTTTATATAATATTTGTGTCGGTTTTGATTGTAATAATCAGAAGTCATAATACATTTGTATTACTTACAAAATGAACCTATAACATAAAATATAATCCAAAATGCATTACAGTAAACGCTATTTGTTATAAATTAATTGCTACTTAAATCATAAAAATGTTATTATTTGCAAAAATCTTTTTGCAAATTTAATAATTGATAGATTTTTGTATAAAGTGCATACAGCATCTTTGCATAGAATGGCTTAAACGTAGCAAACTTAGTTAATATTTTAATAGCGTTAAAGAAGCAAAATAAAAACACGAATTCTGTTACGTCTCTATCGAATTTATTCATTTACATCCGGTAAAGGTCTTTTCCGACTTTACGCGTCGTGAATAAAGATATACAATTACGCAATCGATTAATTCCTATCGAGATAAGTGCAACCATGACCTCAATGCTCGTCATTACCTCCACGGGACGAAACGACGTGCATAATCGATTTTTTGATCGTGGAAAGGTAAACCGCAAGGCGATTAGGGTGTCGTCAGCGGTGAAACTTGCTCATGAAATATTGATTTGCGAGGAGTTCAGCCTCGCTCACGCGCGCATCTTGTTCTCTTCTTCATATCCTGACTCTCTCACGACGCTCGAGACGAGCCGGCGATTTCCGGTACGGCGTAATAGGTTGACCTCTCGATTTACCGCTCGCGCACCTTCACCGTGCGATTATTCAAGCGCTCCGGAACTAATATAATGTGTATAGCCATAAATTGTTATTTAAATGCACAGTTGTCAAGACGCGCATCAAATTTATGCTATTAATTTTATTTCTTGACTGTGTACGAAAAAGTTTTTTGTTTCATTGCGAAGATGTCATAGAAAAAACATACATCAGATTACAACTAATTAATGATTCAATTAATGATTCAAATTTTATTGATTAATGATATTTTTAAAAATGTAGTATAAGAAATATTTGTAATAAAAAAAAAATTACAGCTACTAAATTTACTAAACTAAAATTACTTAACAAACGATAAATAATGAAAATGGCGATAAGAGCCGTTGCAGGATGTTCGTGCTAAATTTTTAATTTTC